ATGCACAGGTCCTTTTTTATATTCCAATCACATCTACCCTAACCAAACGAGGTGTTTGTTTTTTTGTTTCGCTTCAAAAGCTCCAGATATGGGGTAAGGTTTTCTTCCACTATTCAAAATATATATATATATATATATATATATATTACTAATTAAACTAGCGAACAAATGTCCAACCACCTTCATTATCTCGAAAGCTAAGTAAAATTGGATTTTTTACCCATACCTTAATGCTTCAAAGATTCCAAATTACGCAACTAACAGCGAGTTCCGCAAGGCACGTATATTGAAATTTGAATGTATAGCCATGCTTAATCTACATTCTGAAAGTAATTAATACGCATTAGTTCATAAACCGTATAAGTCAAATAAAAGGCAAAACCCGCAACTGATTCGTAGACTTCAGACGAAGGTTAACGAACAGAGGTGGCACGAAGATCTCAATGTACATATCCATAACTCAAACAGCGTGGTCAAAGATGTCCAGTATTAACAATTTAATTCGAACACCAATTCCTCTCATGCTCGAAGCTATTGAAAAACAGGTGGTAACACAGGAATCCCAATCAACCGTTCTATTGCTGCATGAAGTCTGACTTAATACAAGAAAACAGATAATTTGTGTCTCACACCATCTTTCATAGCAACCACTTTAGAATGGTGCCGTCCTCATCCTCAATATAGCCACGAGGAATGGAAGCTTGTACTGTTTATTAACGACTCCGGATAAAACCTGAATTGTCGCTCTAGGCAACTGGAGAGAACCAGGAACACGCAACTTGAATTAACTTGTTCATAAAAATCCATGGAAGATGTTGCATGATTTGGGGTGGTATCATCAAACATATCTACACCCGAGCTACATATCTTTTCTGGAGGCTTTATAATTGGTTACAAATATGTGAATGAAGTCTTGGAATCTTATTGTTGCGTGCGTACGGGTTTGTTATGAAATGAATGCACGAGTCCGATGAAAAATGAACAAAAATTTATTATTATCACAACAAAAATGCTTGAATTTTCTCAAATTATCATGCAGTATTACAATATCTCACAGTAGTTATCTTTACTACTTAAATGTCCATAGAACGTAATTCAAAACAGTTAAAGAAGCTAATCCGCGAATTCGCTACAATCAACAAGAGCAGTCTTCTAAACAACAACAACTAAGCAACTACTCCAACTGAGAGTTTTCCTCCTTTTATAAATTTTTTAAATCGCTGCGTGAATTTCTAGTACTTCTAGAAATCAAAAGAGATTTTATTAAATGTTTATGCACGCGCTCTTGTATTCTCAATTTTCCAGCTTAGCTTTCTTTTAATATTCGTCACGCGCTGCACTGAGCGAGAAAATAAAACCATTTAATTTATAATTGAACTAACATTAGCTTTTTAAATATCAAATTCGTAACAATAAGGCTGTCTACGGATGCTATTGGCCCAGATGTTTTGCTACTGAATGACAACGCTGGTCTATATCGAGCAGCTCTGGTGTCAGAATACTGAAAAAGGGAAGTTATCTCTCCAGTGGATTGAGCATGTGTTGGACAGCTGAATCGCAGCGAGCCCGATGTCTGTTAGCATCTTCCAGGCTCTGAAGAGCGCACTTTCCGAACAGAGAGTGGCGTGAAATTTCAAAACAATTCACTAAACTTTATGAAATCAAGGTATGAAGTTCTCCTATCTGTCGGAAGTCACCATACTTCATATCAATTAAAGATTTCTTGCAAAACAGGGAAGATTTATCTTTTTTAAATTCCTATAAATACGACTTAAAGTTTAATAGCTTGAGATTAATGAATTGGCCAACATGGTGATTTAAATCAAGTACTATAAAATCCCTCGTAACCGGCAATATCAAAATAAAAGCACTTTGAAGTTCTAAATTTAAGTCCGAAATTCAGTTTGGAGATGGACTTTGGAGATGATCGAATTTACACGACAAAAAAACAAGATGAACGTCGGATATCAGTACTTTGTGTGTCCACCACGCTGAGCGATGAGAGCCTGTACGCGTCGTGGCATTTAATCATGCAGATTACGAATGTAATTCTGCATTTATCAGAGCAGTGGTCTAGATTTGGGGATTTAAAGCACTGAATGGCTGTTCTCTTATGTTTGAATTTTTCAGTTTGCACTACAAAATGTAGGAGGCGATTGATTTCAGAGAATTTGTCAAAGCTAAGTGAGGGGAGAAGATAGACTCGAAGTTTGAAACATCTTTCAAAACTTCTGGACTGTTATGTTACTTTACTCTGCTATGCATTCGTCACCTATGAGCCGTGGCATATGGTGCAAGTGTGATGAATGAAAGGTTTTTCATTTATCTTTTATGCTATCTCACAAACAATCAGTTTTCAAAATGCTGCCATTTTGCAGTATCCCTAATTAAACTCCCATATTGAATCAGTCTGCTAGGAATTAAGGAATTGTGCAATTTAAAAACAATATACGCGCTTATTATAATTTATATCGCTATTTTACTTTTAAATTATGTATTTGATTGATGTCAATTAACTATATTTAATGTGTAATCAATCCAATTAATAATTTTAATGTGTAATCGATCCAGTTAATAATTATTTTCCTTATTTATAAAATATTATAAATAAAATATGTTTCCGCTCTCGTGTATTTCACATGATAACATCCTTGTTATTTGTCTAATTTCATACTTACTATATTATTCTGATATAATAATAATAACGGGGGGGGAATTAATTTGTATAATCAGTAACTATAGCTATACTATAGATGAAGGAAAAATACAAAGTTAAAAGGCAGTTCAAAACCCGATCTAACTATGCGCTTATAGCTGCAACAACTGGTGGCAATATCTATATATATAAATAAAATAAAAATAATAAATAAAAAGTCTGTGTGTTTCGTCCTCTAATAACTCAGTCACTACTATAGCTATCGTCGCCAAACTTTCTACGACTCTTTTCTGGATCGTTGAAAAGGTCGACTCCAAAAAAAAAAAGTAGCTAAATCAGAGGTATTAAAGAACCGGAAACGATAATTTTCGCCCTCATTTTTCCCAGTGGCAACAGTTTTCACAAGCTGGATAAAATCTTTTATTTTTTAAATTGTTCCACTCTCTCTTTCAATCCTAGAGTTTTTAATAAAATATTTCGAAGTTTTACGACAAATGAAAAAAGCATTGCCAAAATTAAAATTCATTATTACCGATTTTCAAAACTTCGTGAGAAGCCGTTTTCGACTATTCTCATCTTCGTAGGACTAATAAGCCGAAATATTAATTAAAACCCTGAAAGCGCTAATTTTTACACTCATTTTTCCGAGTGGCAACAGTCTCGCGCGTTGGAGATTATAAAAAAAAAAAAAAAAAAAAAAAAAAAAAATTCGTTATTTCGAAAAGTATTGCTTGCTTTCAAATCGTAGAGTTTGTTAATCAAAAATTTTGCAAGTTTCACAAAATCTATACATATAAAGAAGAACGTCTGTTGTGTTTGTTTGTTTGTTCACGTTATTGATTTCTGATCAATTATGATAAATGTTTTGCCACATTGAATCGACTATGATAAAGTTAAAAATAGTGCAGACCAAAAATTAAAACAATAATAAAAAAAAAGGTTATTTACTTACCTTGACGCATCTTGGTCAAGGTGTTGGTGCAATGATAGAAGCAAATATATCAGCCTGTTTCTGAACTGACAATGATACAAGTTATAATTTAGAATTCAATATTTCAATAAACCATAGAAAATTAATCATAGAAAGTTGCTTCTTTATCAGTCTACAGACTTTAGCGGACATATTAAATTTGCAAAAAGAACCGAAATTGTAGGTGAACAGCAACCAAGCCACAAATTTATAAAAAAAAAAAATTTAAAGTTGTGCAGATGGCTTTTAAATAACAAACAATTGCATCTACACGCATGCATGTAGATAGATAGATAGCTAGACACATGAAATACAAGCCACACAACAAACATAATAACTAAACAATACCAATAACATAGGAAGAGGTGAAGAGCTAGTTCTTGAGCAACTGTAACAGCAGAGGAATATGCTGTTACAACAGCTGATTTATGCGTTTATTTTTATCTAATTATTTATTTTATCGAATTTATTTTATATAATTCTATTTCTTTACCATTCAGAATTTTCATTTGCAAAACAATTGTTGATAAACTGTTTTGTTTATGAACAATTTTAAACAAATGTTCATAAATTTGCAAAACAATTGTTCACAGATAGACAGACAGACATATAGGTACAATGCGCCTGTGTGTGTGATATTGTTAATAGTAACCGCTTTAAGGTGTTAGATTGTACGGTGAAGTTTTCCATTTGTAATTTTTTAAAAATTTCTAATTATATAATTTCTGTTGAAATAAAATATGATTAACAATAAAAACAAAAAGGGCAAAATTTTTTAACTTGCGGTTTATAGGAAAAATAAATAAATAAAAGACGATCCATTTATTCAAATATACGGATGCACTGTGGTCCTAGTTAGTTTAGACATTTTAAATTCTGCCGTACATTTTGATGTTTATAACATACGAGACCCAAATCTAACAAATTCTTACCTCTTGTACCGATTCTTTGTTACGTTAACCTAGAATCGAAAAGTTCAAGGAATAAATCTCATCATTTTGTAACATCTTACAATAATCGCCCCACCCTCCTTACATGTAACACGTGCAACAGATAAAATTTAGGTATTAAAAACAATCGAAATTTGGAACATCAAAGTGAAATGAAATTTTACGCCTTCACGAGGAGATGCCCTAATTCGTGTCCATCTATCAAATCCAATTGCGATTCCCTCGTTACATTCCACGGTTCCATCTAAAAGGGAAAGTTTTTAACAAGACGGGGAATGGCTCGAGGTAACAACAAGCCTTTTTCCAATGAATCGTCCTTTGAAAAAAAATAAGGTGGACAACTTCTTCCGAAGGCGAAACACAGATATTTTGTCAACAATCGAACAAACAAACAATTATAAAAGAAAAGCGATCAAGATATTCTAAACTTGACCCAAATTCCAAACCGCGTTTCAATCTCGTTTGTGAAGGGAGGGGCACAGCAAGCGTATATAAATTCAGATGGCTCTAGTAGATCACGATATCGAGGAGTTTCTTGTCAAGGCGCCATGTTTAAATTGGTAAGTTTGAGCTTCATCAATTCATCACAAACTGTATTAGTTGTAGAACAAAAAAAAAAAAAAAAAAAAAAAAAACTGTATTAGTTTTCTGCCATATCTGTTGGAATCTATTTCTTTAGTGGATAGCCTCCAGTTCGCAGAAACTACCAGAATATTTAAGGCGTGGATATGTTATTGTAACAGAAAAGGGAAGCTTTTTCGAGGAGCTATTTTAGAATCCGTATCCCTAACAGATACATTCTACAGAAATTTTAACTCCTCTGGATGCCCCGAGGGTCCAGCATGGAGACTAGTTAATATGGATGGAGACTAGTTAAATGAAATTTGGTGTATAGGTGGTTTTGCAGAATATGCACACCTTCAAAAATTTCGCAGTGTTTGCTCTACGATTATTTAACTGTGGTGGATATTACGCTGTCCCCAAGCTGACTGTGGTGAATATTACTGCACATTTAGCCATTGCTAATATGTTTAACTATAGTGAATATTTCGGTGTTTCCTTTTCAAGAGGGTTGAAGAATATATCTTAGTTGAGGAATTTTTTAAGGAAAATCGGCTAGCATTTACGTTACAGAAAATCATACCATACAGAATATACAGAAATCGTGCAGACGATTCTTTCGTCGAGAGCCAGACCCGATATGATGTCCAACTGACAGTCATTAGGTTTCGTAAAACATGAATTTTGTGAATATTCTTGGGAAATAAACTGAGAAGTTTGGATCCCTTCTTTCCGTCAGTTTAATCTGCCAAAGACTGAATCTTAGACAAAGCTAAATATTGCTTCGTATACATTTACTACTAAACTTTGCTAATTAGCCGACGTATTTTATGCGTAAAATACCTACTTCCAGAAAAATTCAGAGTGCATTTGATTCATGAGAACAGTATCTTATAGCCAAATCTTTTCCTCGAATTTCATTGGAAACCACGAAATACAGAAAACTAATATCAGTCTAAAGTTAAATTTTACTTAACTTTAAAAACTAGTAAAAAGTTGACAAAACTTCATAAAATAACGACATAGACCTAAATATATGTTCCGTATGTTTTTATTTAACTACAAGGTATTAAAAGTAAAATTTTAAAAAAATAGTGTGGGAGGGATTAATTATAATTATTAATTGCTTCATGAAATAAATCTAATGCATTTGATAAAATGGTTCTTAAAATCATTCAGTTCGATGGATTTTATTTCAAAAATACCGTTTATGTTTTCAGTTGACCCGTTTAGGAAAGATAGTTTTGATTTGGCCATAGATAATAAATCATCGCTTTCATTTGCTTAGGTTTTTATTTTCTGCTTCATTAATATTATTTTATTTTAGTTATTACACTCAAAAGTCTTTAATCCGGACTCGTCGGGACTTCGGCGATTGCGGATTATCGATTTTTCCGGATTATAGATCATCAGTTTAAATCTGGTAAGATGGCATGCAGAAATTATAAAACTAAAAATATGAAACCGTAATTTATAAAATAATGAGCAATTATGATCTAAAGGGTATCAAATTTACAAAAAAGAAGCTTAATATTTATTTGTTTACTTTATTAAACATTTCTTTTCAACGCGCGGATGCGTAAAGCATACCTTACGCATAGCCGAAATTAGAAAATTGCAACCAGAAAACTATTTGATTTGTATTCGTGATATTTATAATGACGAGGAATTTGATTTAAATCATATCAAAGACGGAGTACATCGAGATGAAATACTACATTTAGTAAGGAATTATAAGCCGAATAAAATAAAAACATCTGCCCTGAAGATAACGATAGTGCTGACAGATCAACTTCCAGTTCATTGCGCGCGCGACGTCCCCCCCCCCCGCGCAGAGCAGCGTGAAATTGATAAACAGATTTCGGAACGGTTAGATAAACAAAGGATATGCCTTTATCCATTTTTTGCAGCAATTCGTTTTTTGTTTTGATGGACATCGAAACATACTTTTCGTTTTGTAGATCCTTTGGGAGCTCCAGCATCGGAAATTCTATTTGACATAATCGAAAGTTCAAGCTTACTTTTATAAAATTGCTCTTACAGTCTGCAAAAAATAATAAGCCGGATCCAATTCGAAGATTAAGGAACAACGCAATCTGCAACATTAACTGAAATAGATAATTAGATAATTTTAGCTTATACCGTCCGTTATACATTAAACGCGCACGCGAAAACGTATTCTGCACTTGCGCAGATGCATATGCGCAGTCGTAAATGTCTTGCGCGCACGAGTAAAACGCCTACGCCTATGCGCATGCGTCGATGCGCAGAAAGATTTTAGCTTTGAGGTCCGGATTATAGATCATTCCGGATTACGGGTGTCCGAATTAACGACTTTTGACTGTATTACTTTTACTTTAACTTTTCAGATAAATTTTTTAAATATGTTTCTCCTTTTATGTTGATTTACCTTCGAAAATGCCGTTTATTCTAGTAAAAAGAGATTTTGTCTTATATTTATCATTTAAAAACTGCTCTTTATTTGCTTGTTTTCTAATTTGCAGTTGCAAATTATTTTATACTATGACTCATATTTTTTAATCATTTTTTCTAATTTACTTCATAAGTAGGTTTCCTTCAGTTGATTAAAAAAAAATCATGGTTTCAGTTACTTGAGGTTTCACTCTTTGTTAGACCGAATTTCGTATATGAGTCTAATCATTAATTGGTTTAACAGATTTGATTGAATCTAGTTCACGAAACAGTAATTGTCTTATTTTTTGTCCCCCCCCGAAAAAAAGCAAATTAGAAATCTCAATGATTATACAATATTTTTTTCGCTATTGCTTATGCTTACAGACGCTTAAGAATACTAAAATACCTAATTATTTCTGAAATTTTATAAAGGGAAATTTTTTTTAAAATTAAATGTAGGTTAAATGATCGATTATAGCAAAGGATGCGAAAAGTCATGTATAAAAAGAGCAGGAATGCCTTTGAGGGAATTTCTGAGGGGGAATAGCTCATATTTATTACACATTGTTAAAACCTCAGTACATACTACCGGTTCAGTCCTCAGAAGAGAATTGAGAATTCAGCGTGAATAACTCCACTAGATTTTAAAATTCAATTTATAAATGTAAATATTTCAAAAAAATTAAAAAATTATTTTTAAAGTCATTTTTAGGTTTAATGTATGAAAGCTTGTCTACTAAGGTAATTTGAGTCCAAAGGAGAAATTTTCTCAGGACTATTAATTTTTTTTTTTGGGGGGGGGCATTTTGCGTTGTTTCACTTTTCAGACTGTTGCCACCGAATATTATAGCCCAGTATTATATTTAAAGAAACTAAGTAATGAAGAATCTGCACAAATGTACGTATGTTTCTCACACTGTGATAAACAACAGTACCTAGAGCTATCCAGTTTTGAATGACTTAATCCTACTCCGAATATGGGCATCTGGAAGACCAAATTGGAAATTTGGCATTTGTTTTATTATCGATTTCATAACATTTTGTAAAACTTTAACGAATTTTTGATTAACAAAATCAAGTATTTCAAAGCGAGCCATGGCAACGTTGTGCGGAAAAAAACATTTTTATCTCCAGCGCGTGAGACTGTATCGGAAATTCTAAAGATATGCTCAAGTTAAAATTATTTTGCGATATTGTTCTTGAACTGAATTTTAGGTGCAAAGAATGTTATATTTAATAAATAAATGTAACACAGAAATCATTAAAAAAACGCCCCTTTGGAGGTTTTTATTTAGTATTTATGTCTGAATGCTTTAGTAAATTTTTGGTCAGGGTAATGCAAGGAAAATAAGTTTACATTTCCTTTTAAAATGATTTTAATTCAAATCAGAATGTTTTTATTTTACCAGTTTGTTTTTGTTTCTATGTATTACATAGTAACGTATGTATTTACGCTATCAATTTTATTTGTTAAATATTAGTTGGAAATTGACGATCTTCTTTTCTTCAGCTACAAAAGAAATTAAGACATTGTTTTTATCCGTCAGATTATCACGCATGCAGTTCTTATGACTTCTTGCTCGAATGCCGACAGTCGATATTTCCTTTCCACCCCGGCTGATGTGCAGATCTTTTATAGCAACTGTGTGCAAAGACTGACACATTTTCTCTGTTGCATAGTTCTTCGAAATTAGTTGAAACGATTCTTTAACCAAGCACATACTATAACATTACAAATACCTTTTATTAATTACATTAATATTGCAGATTTTCATAAAATTTAGCAAGTTGATAACCATAAACATATTTTAGACTATCTGAATTTAATACATTATTGAAAATTAAAATTAAAATTTTAATTGTTAAGACATGCATTTTATATTAGCTCAAAGGGCATTCGCCCAGAAGGGCTATTAATTTCAAAATGACATTTTGCGTCGATCCACTTTTCAAACTGTTGCCACCAATATTATCGCCATATATTACATTTAAAGAAGCTAAATAATGAAGAATCTGCATGAATGTTTCTCGCATTGTGAAAATACAACGGTACCTAGAGTCATCGAATTCTGAATAACGTAGTCTTCTAACCGAATATGAGCACTTGGAAGGCCGAATTTTGAATTTCGAATGTTTTATTGGGTATTTCAATTTTTGTAAAACTTAAATGAATTTTTGATTAACAAACTCAACGATTTCAAGGCTAGAAATGGCAACCCTGTACGGAAAAAAAACGTCTCGAGCACGCAAGACTGTGTATCGGAAGTTGTAAAGATATGCTGTTTTTAAATATTTTGCGATATTGCTGTTGAACTGAATTTTATGTATTTTAAGTGCAATGAACAAGTAACTGGAAACTACAGTCGCCTTCGAGGTGTAATTAAAATAAAATATAAAAAATGCAGTCGTGAAGTTTTACGTATATAAATTGAAATCGTACCACGTATATTTTGTATATCTGTTTAATTACTTAAAGCAGTGGTCTCGAACTTTTTCATTTTAAAGAATCTAATTTTACATTATTTCCAATACCCAAAACGAACGTCAGTAACACTCTAAAATATCTACAAATGGAGCTCCCTAATTTACACGATATAAATCTTATTCAGAGATGTACAGATATATATTTGATTAATTTTTATTCTTGCCTTCAAAAGATAAATTGGAGCTCCCTAATTTACACGATTTAAATCTTATTCAGAGATGTACAGATATATATTTGATTAATTTTTATTCTTGCCTTCAAAAGATAAATTGGAGCTCCCTAATTTACACGATATAAATCTTATTCAGAGATGTACAGATATATATTTGATTAATTTTTATTCTTGCCTTCAAAAGATAAATTGGAGCTCCCTAATTTACACGATATAAATCAGATAATTTGATTAATTTTTATTCAAAAGATAAAGAGCTCCCTAATGATATAAATCTTATTCAGAGATGTACAGATAAATATTTGATTAATTTTTATTCTTGCTGTCAAAAGATAAATACCCTCAGCTAAGAATTTTCGCAATAAGAATAATCGGTTTATTCGGAAGTGCATTTATATGCGAACATTTTCTTCCGCAGTTGAAAATTAACCAGACTAAGAAAGAACAGGTTGATGGATGAGCATCTATTTTTGATAAGGGTAGTTTCTAGCAGTTTTTCTAAATTACAAACATTATCAAAATCGAAACGCCAGAAGGTGTCGTAGCTGAAAGGAAAAGTAAGAAATTAAGAAGTTTGGTAACTATTTACATACAAAGATAAATATTTTTTTCTCATACGTCGAAGGAAAAAAAAGAATAAGATGTAATCATTTTTTCTCAAGTTCTTCTCCATTGGGAAGTTTTTATAAATTGTTAAGTTAAAACTAAGTTATTTAGTGACTAATTCAGTATAAACAATTCTTTGAAATAGAAGCCAATCTGAAAATTTAATATTTAGTTGTCAATACGTTTTATTAAGTGTAACAAAAGAAATTTCTTACAGATACCAAACATTTAGCCAAAAAGTACAGACAGAAATCAGACATAAAATTAGCACAAATTTTAATTTTTCTTTTGACTCTTTATTATTGCTGTTTATATATGTTTTGATAAATATTTAGTTAATAAAATTTTTAATTTAGTTAAAAGCATTTTTATTTCGTTAAAAAATCCCGTTCCGTCAGCTGATTATAGATCATGAATGCGACCCGCGCGCTATTTGAGACCATTGACTTGCGGTACATGTGATACCCATATACCGCACCATATTTTGTAATTTTGAAACATAATTAAAAAAGCATTCTGTACCACGTACATTAAAAGCATGTTTTATGAACTACAGTAATACTGCTCCAAAATGTTCAAAAGATCATTAGCTATGTATATGGGAAACTGCATTTTTAATTACATCAATTAAATATATGATTAAAAAAATTTAATTATTATGAAGGGCGTTGATTGTTTTTAAAACGCTCAGTTTATCAAATAATTATATTGATCGAATCTGAAAGATCTTGTATTATGCCAAATGATAACACTCTCAATATTATCCATGCACGCAACCGCGTGTAAGATAAATCTTACATTTCGCGTGGTGTCAATACTTACCATAGCGAAATATAACGTACCGAGTAGTCCCACATTTTGGAAAGACTCGTCAAACGACGTTTCGAAAGTTACTTTGTTTACGTTCCAAACTTGGCATCTGTCTTAGAATTAATAATTTATCCAGAAAAGTAAAGACATTGCTACATGGTTTGTAACAATTATAAGAATTAGTAATGCGGTAATATATATACATGATGAATGCAGTGTAGCTTAACGTAGCATATATATCATGGCTCAAAAAATGAAGGGGAAAATTCATTAGTGATGTCTTTAGTGTCCAAATTTCACTGTGAATGATGTAAAGTATTTTAATGTTTTCTGTTTTTCTAGTTGGCTCTTTGTGCTCTGCTGTCTGCAGCTGCAGCCCAGTACCATGCTTCCCAAAATGAGTTGACCACTCCCTATCCCAGAAACTACCACCCACCAGCCCCCGTCCACTATGTCAATATCGGCGCCAACCTGGCAGGAGACTACAAGTTCGGATACGACACCGGAAAAGGACCTCTAGGACAAAGCTTCAGAGAAGAAACAAGGCTGCCCGATGGTACGGTAAAGGGAGCTTATGGTGTTTTGGACGAACAAGGACGCCAGAGGATCATCCGGTACACCGCAGGAAAGGGAGGCTTCACTGCCGAGGGTGATATCGGACCCAACGGCGCCCCTGGTGTAGCCCCCGGACCCGCCCCACAACCCGTTGCCGCAGCTGCTCCAGCCTACCAGCCAGCTCCTCAACAATACAGTGCCCCTGCTCCCCAACAATACAGTGCTCCGCAACAGTACAGTCCTCCCGCTCAACAGTACAGACCCGCTCCTCAGGCGGCTGCCGGCAGATACGACAGCGGTCAGTGGGACCCCAGGAAGGACGATCCTTATTACCAGGATGGTCCAGCTTTCATTGACGTGGACAGGCTGTCCTACAATATCGGCACTGCCAGACAGGGATAAGCTGCACGTCCTATAAAAAACTTTCGCGAAAGAAATAAGATTTGTATTGATAAATTTGTCCTGTTGCCCACTCATGAATAGTGTCATATTCGTTAAAATGAAGTGCCGTCGATTAGCAATCCAGTTCTATGTAGAATGCCGATTATCCGAACTGTCCATTAATTCGAACGTTCCAGCTTCAGACTGAACTACACATGAAATTATTATAGATGAAAGTGGCCAAATATCATTATACTGGAAAATAACCTTTGTGCTTGTCTGGAATACATTTTACATCCTTTGTTTAATTATCGGAAATCTGGCTAATCCGCACCGAGAAAGTTCTCGATAGATTCAGATAAGCGACATTCTACTGCATTTGCTGTGCATGTTTGGGGTCTGCTTAGCTGTGAAAAATGGATACCTTTAGAGTATATAGCATCCTTTTTAAATTGCCGAATTTTCTTTTTGTTTGATGAAATTCTGATAATTTTCTGAAACTTCTATTTGCTAGAAATGAGTTTGATGAAATATATTTAGCTTTGTTTTTCGGAAACTTCTTGTTGGCGTAGAGATTAGTCCGTTTTTTTAGCCGTTTCTCGAAGTTTTTATTTGCAGACGAATTTAATGTCATTTCTTTTTTTCTTTGCCATTCTTTTCAATTCTTTGTCATTCTCTTCAATTCTTTGTTTTTGATACCCACTTTGTCTCGAATTGATAATTTGACTTTCTCCACTTATTATCCGTATGACATTTTTCTTTCGACAAACAAACGACAATTGCGGTGTCCTTTACTAATAATTCTATGCTTTATTCTAACCGTACATTCCGGATGATTTTAGTGATCCAGTTTGACTCTGGCTTTTTTTTAACATTCTCTAAAAGTGTCAGACAACTTTTCAGATGCCAAAATGCTAAGAAAAGCAAAAGTGAAAAAAAATCTCATATGCTTCTCTTTTAAATTTATTGTGAAAAGAGAAATACCGATTTTGACAGCTTTTAAAGTACCATTTACGAGCTCCTACTGATATTCTGAAACAGAAAAATATTTCTCCAAGACCATAAATATTGCTTCTATGAAGTTAAGTTGTATTCTTTGTTTTTCAAGAAACAAGATGTTACCTCATTCCAATTCCTGATAAGACTATATTGGCTTCATTTCCATTTACTGGAGATTTCTGCAAAGCAACAGGGAGGGAACCAGCCTTTCTTTGCAGATTACTGCTTTTGTTTACTGCGATTCAGCAACTCAATCGGAAATTTTAAGAACCATAGATTTGTGAATTACCACAGATTTGTGAAAAACAGTTGCCAATTTTCTATGTGTAAATAACTGAAATAAAATATTTATGTTTTACCTTTAAGTGTCGTCTTCAAATTAATTTATTTACCCTTCCCCCATCATATGTAATTTAATATATATGAATAAATATATCCAATTCTATTTTTACACTGTAAATGAATTCTGAGGAAGTTAAAATAAAAAAAGGTTAATAGATTACAGCCTGAAAATTCTAGACTGCAATCTAACAACTTAAAGAAGAAGAATTAATTACTTTTTTTTCAATTCATAAAAGTTGCAAAACATAAAAAAAACCTGCAAACATTTTGATTTAAAATTGCGTTTTAGAAACAAATTACAATAAAAAGAAATAGTTGCTTTCAAAAATTATGGCAGTCTTCTTAAAAATTACATATTTTCTTTCATTTTATGTTCCATATATTCTTAACTCCCCCTTTTTAAATTATTTATTAATTATTATTTTTTTAATTAAGCTGACTCCTACTAAGTGCCCGGAAGTGGTGGCTAGTTTATTGTTGAAGCATCTAATAATAGGTGTTACCTCCTTAGAGGATGACGGACAATATTACAGCAACGGTATGTTATTACCGTCATGCTGCTGCAATACCGTTATGTATTACAACAGCATTGCTGTAATAATACCTTCTCCGGGAATCGAACCCGGGTCTTACACATTGCAGTAAGCTTCAAACCTTAGACTATATATTTATATAGACTGTTATTATACAATATTATTTATATATCCTACATATTTTCAAAACTTAGACTGCAGAAGTCTTATATTTTATAGTGAGCAATAGTTAATTGGAAAGATACAGTGTCTCAAAAAAGTGATGGGACACTTGTGCTTTACAAAAGGAAACTGTAATAAAATAAATTAAAAAAACATGTAAAATTTTTTTGTGGTGTGTTTCATACTTAAATTTAGTAACAATTATTACATAACATACATTTTCTCAAAATATTAAATATTAATTTAATAAAAATACAATTGTTTGGAACGGAGCAAAAAAATGGCTCACATAAGTGATGGGACACTTACTTTTCCATCAAATATTTATCCAAACTTTTACTTTTTAAAAAAGGTTTTAATATTTTGTTGGATGTCCTTTTTTTACTTTTTTAAACATGATTTAATCTTCTTGGGATGGTTTCGACTTTTTTTTTTTTTTTTTTTTTTTTTTTTTTTTTTTTTTTTTTTTTTTTTTTTTTTTTTTTGTGATTTATGGAGTTTTACCCCATTCTTCTTGAAGCACCGATTTTAATTGTTGTTTTGAAGAAATGGTGTGTTTGCGAATTCTTGATTCCAATTCTTGCCAAATAGTCTACATGGGACTTAAGTCTGGAGATTGTGGTGGTGTTTTTATTATTTCAGGACAGTTATACAGCAGCCAGAGTCTTAATGTTCAAAGCAGTGTGCGTGGGGTCATTGTCCTGGTAGAATTTAAAATCGTTATGAAGGTTCAATTTTCGCGCTGAAGATTTCAAATTTTGATTTAAAATGTCAATATACTTGTACTGATCCATTATACTGTCAATAAAAAAAAAAAGAGCGGACGACATACACCCTCATACAATAACTCCTCCTCCACCATGTTTTACTGTTGGCACCAAGTTCTGTTTTCGAAATTCTTCCCTGGGTTTTCTCCACACTAAGATTCTACCGTCAGAACCAAATATATTAAATTTACTCTCATCAGGAAATATAACTTCATTCCAGTAATCAGAATTCTTATTTATGTTGGATTTTGTGAAATTCTTTTCTTTTCACTTACGAAGAATTTTTCCTGGCTGCTCTACCGTGATATCCAGCAGATCGAATTACTCTTCTAATAGTCTCAGGTTTAACAATTACTCCATATAATGCTTGTAAATCAGCAGCAACTTTAGGAGCACTCATTCTTGGATTTTTTTTTTAATATTTCGAACGATAATTCACTTTATTCCATTGGATAGCTTTGATGGTCGGCCGGGTCTTCTTTTATCCTGAATCATATGATTCTTTTTATATCGTTTAATGATATTGTAACTGTTGAATGTGTTAATGATATTGTTAACTGTTTCGGGAGTTTCACTAATAGATTTTTCACGTTCAATATGCAAATTAATAACTAATTTTCAAATTGCAGGCAAAGTTTCTTTTCGTTTAGCATTCATGGCTGCACAGAGCTAAAAAACACAAAAATTCCAAAACAAACTGGAGAGAAAGACTGCAGACGATTTTTTAAATTATTGCCATTGCTTTTGAGTAAAAATAAAAACCCCAAAAAATATTTTTATTTTAGTACGTAGTAGTATCTAATGGTGTCCATTAACTTATGTGAGCCACTTTTTGCTCCGTTTTAAACAATTATATTTTTATTAAATTACTATTTTAATATTTTGAGAAAATGTATGTTATGTTATAATTGTTACTAAATTTAAGTATGAAACACACCCACAAAAATTTTTACATGTTTTTTTAATTTATTTTATTACAGTTTCCTTTTGTAAAGCACAAGTGTCCCATCACTTTTTTGAGACACTGTACATGAAAGATCTTAAGCGAGCGATGCCGCAATAATTTCCAATTTTCACTGCGGGGGGGGGGGGGGGGGGGGGGGGGAAGTTGACCTTTTTTTTCTTTTCTTTTTTTAGAACAAAGAAAATAAGCGTTCGACCCTCTACAGAATATCCCTTGCATTCAGTATTATCTTTACCAGATCTTGTGTGTTAGATTCCATAATTTTAATTTTCTAAATTCTTAACAGACTCAAAGCTCCTGCATTTTAAAATCTGAAAACACCTTTGCCTTTAAACGCATTTTGGGGACGAAACTTTAGAAATCTTTCAAAACATGTTATTAGTTCCTGCTTGATTAGTTTTAATAACTTTATTTAAGGGTTACATTTTACAGAATGAATAGGCTTAAGTTAGTATATGCGTTAGCGAAAGAATATGCAAATTACTGTGATTTGTTTCACTTAAACGCCGTTACTTTCTGTTAGCAATGCCACCACGGCTTTATTAATAAATTGGGAATTGTCCAATGTTGTAGCCATAATAACATATAATTATATATGTTATTATGTATGTTATTATATATGTTATTATTATATATTACTACTGTATTTCTTCAGCCTTAGTCAGTTTCCAAAACTATAGTAAACACAGTATTTCCTGAAGTAATTCTTTTCCTTTTCCCCTTCAACATAATTAATGGTGAATGTAAACATAATTAATGGTGAATGTAAATTGAAATTGAAATTGAAATATAGTCACCATCAGATAGTATTTTTTCTCTTTTGAATTCATTTTATACAGAATTTCTATTTTTTTACCAAGAACAGTATTAAGTTATTAAAAAAGATTAGTCATAAAGGTGGATGAAAAATTAAGAGAACAGCTTGCGTTCTGTAAATTTCAGGTTGATAATTACCATTTCATAGAAGACTGTGTCATTAAATAAATAAAAATAATACATTACAAAAAACAATCAGCAACACAGCCTCCATGTTATCGGGCTATAACGGTGAAGACAGCTTCACAGCAATGCTCTAGAGTACAACTCCCGACTCGTTTCGAGTTATTAGAGGACAACCAAACACACAGACTTTCTTCTTTATATACACAGATATCCAATAAAGATGAAATTTCATTATGCACATATTTTGTCTACATTTATGCATTTCACAAAAATAATTACCTTGCGATACTTTCCATAGGCCCTTGGTAAACAAAAGCTATACATTTGAAGCGTTTGATGGTAGGTCACTTAATATGTACTTTGTGCACATAATGGGCAGCCGATTCGGAATATTGGTTAGTGATTCTGACTGCCGTGCCGAATTCGTGCATATTTTTAATGTATAATGTCTGTGCGGCATGGGGCACTTTAAATATGCGGCGAACCGAAAGCCCTCTTCAGAGGTTGGTGGTAGGGAAAAAGGGCTCGGAGACCCTCTGACCCGTACCTCCTGGGATGTTCTCTCTCAACTAAGGTCTGGCTGTCACCTGTACGGTGCTCATGGTCATTTGACATCTTGACAAAATTAATACAACAGCAGCGATTAATGGGCAAGCAGAGGAAGCAGGATACAATCATCATTCCCGGAGTAGGATTTAATGCCTACAAGTTTTCAAGCTTGTGAGTTCCTTTAAAAATGCACCGTGATATATTTATCAGGCACTTTATGTAACAAATTGCTAAAGTTATTCAAATGTTAATGCTTTAATAAATACTGAGCAACCAAAAAGTCCGGAAAGTCTAATGGGAAAAAAGACTAATTTTTCCTAGCAGTATGAAAAAAAAAAAAAAAAAAAAAAAAAAATCTTGTGTGCAGTCTATGAAAATATGACTTTTCGCATTTTGGGGCAAAAATTCAAAAATCTTCCGTCAAGGGAAACTATTACTGCTTAAGGAAAAACATTACCCTCCGTAAATTTCATTAAATCTCCTCAGACTCCCTTTACCTCGCGCTCAGTTATTCGGTTAAAAACTACTATGCGTTATTTTTAAATTTATTTTTTAAATTTCTTAGTTGCTTTTACCAAGCATTTGGCTGAAAAACGCTAAGCTGTGATGCTAGAAGAAAAAGAAATACGCTTGGAATGAACACGCAGTTAAAAAAAAAAAAGGTACAATCTCTTTCAGCATTAACCCTTTGAGGGGCGGTATATAAAATAATTTAAACTGTGGTAAAATTTTGTATGAACTATAACTTATGGACCCTAAGGACACAAAATTGAGACTTAAAAAAAATCTAGAGCGAAATCCTGAATTTTGAGAGCCGGTATATATTTTATACCGCGCCCCTCTAGGACAATTTTTTTCCAGGTAGCTGCCAACTGGTAATCTTTGTTTTTTAAATTAATTTTGGGTACTTTTTGATGTGCGTCTGTAGTGATGAGTGCTTGAATATAATTATGTAAGTCTAAAGACAATTTTTTTAAAATTTCGGCAGAAATTTAAAATTTTAAATATAAAATTTATGTTTTTATGCACTTTGAGGATTCAACCCAGCTGAACATACTTATGTAAAATATGGGTAAAAAGCTTTTCAACTTGATTTAAATTCAATA